TGCACTTTGATAAACTAAAATTGAATGGATTATTAAACTGCATACTTGGAATTTTTCTAAAAAATACTTTGCCTATATTGCGTAAAATTTACTGTGCCAATACTTTTGTTCGTTACTGTAAGTTTAAGGGTTTATTTACCCTTAACTTTAAAAAACCAAAAAAAAATTTACAATATTTTAAAATTATTTTTCGAATCATAAATTTTTTTATGATTAACAATGTATTTATATTTTTTTTTGGTTTTAGATCCTTTTTGCTTTCAACACGAGGTATCTTTTTTCTAGTTTCTATTGTCATAGCCATAACTCACTCTCTATTTTTATCAATCAATCAATCAATGAATCAATTTTATAATTTTTTTCGGCATTTTTCCTAATTACAAGTAGAGCTTTATAAAACTTTTATAACACCAAATGTTTATCAAGCTTGGGATTTTATGTTATCCGGGCAGGCTTATTAATTTAGCCAGAGAATATGTTTTCTTTATAAAGTTTACCCAGTTACCCATTTTAAACTGCTACCTGTACTGTATCAGCGGTTAAAACTTGTTAAATTTTTATTTAAAATTTTCGGTAAGGAATAAGCGAGTGGATGAAAAATATATAAACCGTAAGAACGGCCCATATATATGTATATGAAAGAATACACACATGCGACGACTCTAGCCATTGTGTGTCACTCCTTTAAATTATAGTTATTTTTTTCTTATTGTATTAAAAAAATAACGTTCGTAACACTTTAGTAAATATTAATCCGTATATTAACTGAGTATATATTAAAGACTAGAAGATGACCCGGTGAACTTCATATCATCTATAATTTATTTGAATTTCACTTTGATCAATTATAACAAATCTTCAAAATGCAATATAATGAGATCACTAATACTACTACTGGTTTTGACTCATATAGTGCAAGAAATTTCCGCCAAAATACTTTTTACATAGAAAATTGAGCTAATTTCACCACTCACGACACCAGCATGCTGGTACAATGATAAAATTTTCAAACAGTTTTTGAAGTCGCACCTGCAGCTGGTACAATCACACCACAAGAACATACACGGTCAATCGACTTGATGGGCCATTTAACAAATTAAGCATATTAAGGGCCGTAAACTTATCTATTTTAAACTCTAGTTAAATCGTTAATATATAAGTTAACAGCCTTAACATTTTTACAGTATGTATGTATAAAAACGTAAGGAACGTACAATACGTATATGTATATACCATATACATATGTAATACTCCTATATTGGCAGTAAGAGCTAGTACCGTCCGAAAACACTACAGTACAGATATATCAATAAACACGTACGAAAGAAAAGGAACACATACGTTTATAAATAAACATGTACACAACACATATACAACAACGGCACTCAAGTACACAATACATTGACAAAAACGGTACTAGACTGTCTCGATTTGATTTCGGAATGCTTACACATTGAGAAGTTAGCTTACTGCCAATATAGAAGTATTACATATATGGTATATACATATATCAGTATTTTTTAGTTTAAAAATTCATCTCTTACATAAACGAAAAAAAAATGATATCAAATTAAGCATATACAACTTTTTCATGCGAAGTATGAATAAATTCTCCAAAAGGCTAAAAAAGGGCTAGGGGCAATTGTAAATTTATGTGGCCAAACAAAGTATGTGGTAGCTAAATCTTGCCACCAAAGGGCTAAAACGGTAACACTGCTCTCAATAACATAAAATGACCAACACCCCAAGTGTCTCTCTAAAGGTATTGGCCCAATGCACGCTTGCTTTGCTTGCTTTGCTTACTTTAGTTTGCTTTGCTTTACTTTCAAGCAAGTGAAGTAAAGCTGCCACTAGGCCAACTTTCATACATTTTAGTAGATTTTAAAAATTGTTTGACAGTTCTCAAAGCCAAGCAAGCAAAGCAAGCGTGCATTGGGCCAATACCTTAAGACTATGAAGCGGTGGTGACTTTATGAGTTTTAACCCGCTACATATTATAGGAGGGAAGAAATTTTGATGGCTTTTCCATGGTAAATTCATCATTGTAAACTACAAGAATTGTTTCTACATCGGTTATGTTTGACATGAACATAATAACACAGGTTTACAAAAAAAAGGTATGCATATTGAACCAAACCTCTATATCCCTATGTTATTCGACGCGCTGATTGCGAATCCGACGTCTGTTAGCCTCCATCACATCAGGTTCGAGGTCATTTGAAGGTCAAATAGGGAAAAATTCATTCAATAAACCTAAAAATTCGTATATCTGTGGTCATAAGCTATCACCGCCTAAGTCTACTTAAGAAAGAATTGAGTTATATATGCTATCGTATTCTGCCACTACTATTCCATGTGGATGTGAAATCCCCATATCGCCAGCTAGGCTATTTAAAAAGTTTTAGACGAACCTGTTTTGGTTTCCGCATAAGGTTAACATTACAATCCAAATGTTTTAAACTAGCCTCCATCACGTCAGGTTCGAGGTCATTTGAAGGTCAAATGGGCAAAAATTCATTCAATAAACCTAAAAATTCTTATATCTGTGGTCATAAGCTATAACCGCCTAAGTCTACTTAAGAAAGAATTGAGTTATATATGCTATCGTATTCTGCAACTACTATTCCATGTGGATGTGAAATCCCCATATCGCCAGCTAGGCTATTTAAAAAGTTTTAGACGAACCTGTTTTGGTTTCCGCATAAGGTTAACATTACAATCCAAATGTTTAAAACTAGGGCTGTGCGATTAATTGATTACTCAAAATTTTAATTAATCATAAAGTAAATAACTCAATTATTCGATTAATTCTAAATTATGATTACTCAAAAGTTCAGTTAATCAAGTAAGCAAGATTTTTGATTAACCAAAAAAAAATATTTGAGCTTTATGATTAATCAACATTTCGAGTAAAATGAGTAATCAACATTTCAACTCTTTACATATGTATAAAGTAGTTCAAGTTCCTTGATACTTTGAAAACAACGTTTCTGTTATCAAAAATTAAAACGAAAAAATTTTTTCATATACAGAATGTAAAAAAGAAAATAAGCATTTTCCAAACCAAACTCTTTTAACGAGCAAAATTATTTTTTTTGAGTAATCATATTTCAAGTAACTCGATTAATCATCGGTTTGAGTAATCAAAATCTTGATTACTCGAGTAATTGATTAACCGAATAATTGATTAACCAACTTGCTCGAGTAATCGAATAATCGCAAAGCCCTATTTTTCTCGAATTCAGGTTCTTCGATTTTGGCGGTTATTGCTTATGACCGCAGATATATGGGATTTTCGACTCGCTGAACCCGAATAATATGAGGTCTGTTGACCCTCAAATGACCTCGAACCTGATATAATGTAACCTCAAATAGGGGAAAAAATTTATTCAATATAGGATGGGAATGGAGGTCCCTTGATTTTTTCGAAGTTATCTAGAGGTCGTGCCAATGTCACCTTCAAGTTAAATTCAGGAGAATTTTATTGAATTTTCAGGTTTATTCAATGAATTTTTCCCTACTTGACCTTCAAATGACCTCGAAGCTGACGTGATGGACACTAACAGAGCTCGGATTCGTATTCAGGGCGTCGAATAACATAGGGAAATAGAGGTTTGGTTCAATATGCAGAAACTTTTTTTTGTAAACCTGTGGAATTAATAAAACAAGTTATTTTTAAGCAAAAAACATAACCATATGAAAATTTAAGATTATCATTAATTTTTTCAAGATCCAATAATCGGATCTGAACCAAATTAGTATGGGACCACATTTGAGGTAACACCTTTCCTTTAAAGAAATCAGTTAACGTGGTCCAAAGTTACGCGGTAACATACATAAAAAATAATAATAATAATATATGTATATATATGCCGACGAATTGATAACCTTCTTTTTTTGAAGTTGGTTAAAAAGAGTAAAAAACTTTGTTTCCATGTAGTGTTTTGTAAATGGCACAATTTTTGTATTTTCAATGCCTAAGAAACTGTTCAAATTACGTTGTGTTTGAATAACTATTTTTAACCGACTTCCAAAAAAGGAGAAGGTTATCACTTCATCGGAATATTTTTATTTTTTTTTATGTACGTTACCGCATAACTTTGGACCACGTCAACCGATTTCGATAATTCTTTTTGCATCGGAAAGACAGTGTCTCAGAGGGCGTCCCATTCTAATCTGGTTAAGATCCGATCAGTGGATCATGAGATTTATATATATATATTTTTATATATGAGAATTGAAGTCGGTTTTTTTTGCTAAAAATTACTTGTGAATTTAGAAATTTGATCAGATTCAAAATGCAGAATGGACCTTTATTTCGCAACGTTTGAATACAGGAAACATAAAGAAAATAATGTTAATGCTTGGACTATTTGGTTCTATTTTAGAGTTTTGCATCCAAGTCATCGCCTCCATCGTGCTTGATCTGCTGTTAAAAACCGTTTTATAAAGGTTAAGCCTGAGTCGGACTATTAGGCATATTAGCCCATGGTATAATAGGAAAAACATTATGCGTTGTCCTAATCATGACAAATTTTATTATACATTTGCCAATTAAACTTCAAATTAAAAGTATAAAGAGTCGAAAATCGCTGAGCGAATTTTGTCGGCCGAAGCGAAGCCGTCGGGTGATATTCGCCGCAACATTTCGCTCAGTAAAACAAAACCAAATCGAAATTTGCGTGAAAAGTGAATAAACAAAGCCATTTGTGATTTTAAAAATAAATATTTTCTAGGCGAATTTCGTTAAACGTACGATCGCTCAGCGATTCGATTCTGTATATACTTTGAGTTTGTATGTATTGTATCAATGGTGTGACTGCTAAAAGGGTATCGCCCCAATTATTATATTTTTCTACTAAAGGATAATATCTTTGATTAACTAGGAATCTGTCTGAGATCAATATTGGTTTCTTCAAACCTCTTGCTTTACTTTCAAAATCGTTATATGTTGTCATATGTCCTCATAGCCATGTTTCAATGTTTGTGATATATTGTAGGTCTTTGTCATAATAACCTGAATTCATCGCCCGAAGACAAATTTCCTACAACAGCGGATGATCTACAAGGATTCTGGGACATGGTGAATTTGCAGGTCGATCACATAGATTCTATATTCGATGAAATCGATGTATTACAAAGAAACAATTGGAAGGTATGCCCATGAATAGCTGTAAAAAAGTATTTAATTTGTATGCATTAATATTTATTTTAGAAACCGATGGAAGTCGTACCACAAGAGTCGAATAAGTCATCTAAAACTCAACAAAAATCGATTAAGACTGTGAACCAAAAGGCAAAGCCAAGCTCGTCCAACGGAAGTGAAATGAAATCAAATGTAGTTTTGTCTGCCGCAGCTTTAAAACGAGAATCTCAAAGGAAAATGTTGCAAGAAATCAAGCGTAAAAATAAAATTGCGTTGTCAGCGAAATCAACTACCTCGGATCCGATTTCCGTAGAACCGAATGTGGAAAATTCAGAAACCGTTGCGATATTTGTCAAAAACAACAAATGAACTCTTGTGAGTGAATTAGGTGTTCTTACTGATCCTTAACTAGTCCTCCAACGAAATCAAATGAAACATAAACTCCATGACATAAATACAGTATCGGTCATATCTATAGCACGCCATTTCAAAGTGATATTGTGTGCCACTTATGTTTATTTATTTATTTTTAAGAATTTTCAATTAAAATACAGTTCTTTCTCTAACAAACCCCATATAAACCCAAGTTTAACAATTTATAGAAAACTTCAAAAAAGCGCAACAAATTTTCACCTAAGTTTCAAACTTTTTTCTCGGAAGTGTTAGATTTTTTTCGAGTACACAGTTTTTTTAGCCCCTGCAATTTTAGTCTGATAATGTGTNAAAATTCTAAAAAATCAACGGTAACTTTCAGTCACTTGAAACTTGCACATTATCAGACTAAAATTCATTGGGCTATAAAACTGTGTATTCAGAAAAATTCAAACACTTCTGAGAAAAAAGTTTGAAATTTAGGTGAAAATTTGTTGCACTTTTTTGAAGTTTTCTACAAATTGTTAAATTTGGATTTATATGGGGTTTGTTAGAGAAAGAACTGTATTTTAATTGAAAATTCTCAAAAATAAATAAATAAACATAAGTTGTACACAATATCACTTTGAAATGGCGTGCTATAGATATGACCGATACTGTATATCTTTTATAAAACGTTCGCTTCGATTAATTTTCGTCTCGTAACAAGTCTTAAAAATACACAAATAATACTCGATTTATAGGATAATCTTTCACAATAATGCAGTGCTATCAAACTATGAGAAAATATAAAAAATCGAATCAGGATATATTTAAGTGTTTTATGATTCTACATATGTTAACCGGAAAATGCAATATATGTATATCACTTTTCTTTCGCTTTAAATTATAATGTAGAGCCAAATTCCCAGTTTTCAAATTAGTTAAATTATATTTACTGTTACTAGCAAAAAATCGTAAGCAATTGTAGGAACTGGTTGACATCTTATATATGCACTGTACATACATCTTTGATATTTTTATATTAATTATTTTACAATATGAATTTTGCGTGCTTGTCAAGTACACAATTTTTTAACTAAAAAAGACATATATTTTATTAAAAATTTATGAGAATAATTATGATTAATCGAATGATATTATTGAAAGTGTGTTTTACTTAAAAAAAAAGTGCATCAATATATGTAAATCACTGCACTTCACTCTGTACCTAATTACTAAATAGTCAGCCTCATTGCGTGAGTCGTGTCGAATGCAAGTATTTTCGAGAGTCGAATCGTATCGAAAACTTCATGTCATTGCCAAAAATTTCGACTCGACCAATGTATTTAAACGGAAAAACTTGGCAGCACTGCATAGTTTTCGACGGTTTTCGTCGTTTTCTTATTTCAGCACGACAGTAGACAATGCCAATGTCGTCGAGTCGTATAATTTAGCCATATCTACGACTTACGCAATGAGGCTGAGTATGATATTGTCACCGTGTGGAGCAACAAAAGACTGCCGGCGTGGATTTCTACAGCCTTGAGAAGGAAAAATAAACCCCTGGCAGCACATAATGTTATATTAACTTTGCGCCATATATATGAGTTTATGGGCAGTGGTGGTGTTTAACATTAAACGCAGCCGCCTTCTTTGTTTTAAGGAAACCATGTGGAATTAACTACTGAAACTTAAGGATTATGATTAGGCAAGCATCCTCTAAAAAATATATAACTAAGAAAATATAACTGCTTATAAGTTATTTGTTATTTAAATTTATTAAATCGTTCCACTTCGTTTATGTATATACTACCCTGCCAACCTTTACTTCATACACTTCACACTTTTATTTCATACAATCTTGAAGCAGAAAAAATTTCAAAGTGTTTGAAGTAAAGGTGGGCAGGGAGCATGGTGGAATAATAACAAGGTGTTGTCAGTAGCGACGTGTTTGTTATAATTTTGACAAGATCGGCATGCTTATTTTCTGTGCTGCCGATTCTAATTTTTATACTACCATTCGTTGGGAAATAGTATCTAAAATACTCCATTTTAGTAATTCGTTTTATGGCGATTTTTAAATAACTTGGTGTTTTCAGAACGATATTAATATCTAAAATTGCTGGATTTGTATAATTTTGTCCTCAAAATGTAAAAAAATAAAAGATATCGTGGTTATCAATGGAAAAAGACGTACACAAAAATCGTATGGAAAGGCGGTTTTTTTATTTTAAATAACATTTGCTGCATTGTCATAATATCGAGCCAAATGGACTACTGATACACTAGAATAGAGTGGCAGCATGGTTAAATTACGATTTCGCTTATATTATCGATATGTGTTTTAATCTATTTAAAAAATCATTTACAGTTTTATAGGAAATTGCTTTATTTTAAAATTTTTAAGTTACAATATATGTCCAAGCTGTGTGGAGCTGCCGATACAAACATATATATATGCAGGCTTATAAGCCTGTAATTATACATTTTTCTACATTTAATTTGAAACAGTATGCACCAACGAATTAAAAGTAGCAAATAATTACTACCTTTTCTACTACTTTAAAATGTGTGATCGGAATAGACCTACCGAAAAAGTGGAGTTAAGTTACTGACAACACCTTGTTATTATTTTATTTTATCTTGTTTAACCTGACCCCCCTTTGAATGTCTCTAAACACTGAACGACGGAAGATATGGAGGTGCGTATTGGCCGAAATGACGCATAAATATTGGCGCTAAAATCTGATGCACAGAACATGACATTTAAATCAAAGCATTCATGGTAATCATATCGCAAAGTGAAGTGAATTAATAAAAGGGAAACGATACAAAAAAATAAGCAGACCAGAAACAGTGTTGCCGGGAATCATTTTCAGTGGTAGCTAAATTCCTTTTAAAAAAGGGATAAAAAAGAGCTAAAAAAAGTCGTTGGGGCTAAAAATGCTAGTTAATTTTTTTTACTTACATATACATATATAAGTATACACGCAAACATTTTCAATAAGTAATGGTATAGAAAAAATATGTACTCTGGAAGAAAGCTAATATTTTATCAAACCAAAAACCTTTTTGTGTAAAAGGGGAAATATGTGACACCAGCTTGCTGGCTCCATCAAATTATTGTACCATCAGGCTCGAAGCTTATAACTTACCAGCATGCTGGTACAATATCCATTTCTTTACAAATAAGGTCCAGGAAAGATCGAAATGATTAGAGCCAAAATTTCATAATTTTTCTAGCATTTTGTTAAACATTGTTTTTTTTTTTTTTATTCACTGCTGCATTATCGTGAACTTTAATCTTCCACAAACACGGCTTTGACTCATATAGTGTAAGACATTTTCGCAACAATACTTTTTTCTTAGAAAAATTAGCTAATTTCACTATTAACGACACCAGTATTCTTGTACAATCAAAAAATTTTCAAATATGTAATTTTTGAAGTCGCACCAGCAACTGGTACAATCACACCGCAAGAACATACACGGTGAATCGACTTCATGGGCCATTTAACAAATTAAGCATATTAAGGGCCGTAGACTTATATATTTTAAACTATAGTTAAATCGTTAATATATAAGTTAACACCCCTAAACTTTTACAGTATGTATGTATAAAAACGTAAGGAACATACAATACATATATGTATCTATATCAGTGTTTCTTAGTTTAAAAATTCATCTCTTACATAAATGAAAAAAATGAGATCAAATTAAGCATATATGTACAACTATCTCATGCCAAGGATGAATAAATTCTCTAAAGGGCTAAAAAAAGGGCTAGGGGCAATTTTAAATTTATGTGGACAAAAAAAGTATGTGTTGGCTAAATCTAGCCACCAAAGGACTAAAACGGCAACACTGACCAGAAAATAAGTAGCTACAATTTTTATTAAAACAATCAAAAATAAAATTTTACTGATTTCCTTTGTATAGTAATCTCTCGCTGAAAAATATCTTAGACAACCTAGAAGAGCTTTGTTCGGAGGAGAATAATGAAGTTGATTAGCGGGTAGTTAGGGTATTCATCGAACCACCAGAAGAACGCATGAGCAGTGGTGATGGTGTTGCAAGGGATGATGGTTACGGTGGCACTTTATTCACACGACAGCCAGTTCAACGTATCGGAATGATTCAGGTTTTCCCGACCAAAGGCTGTAGTTTCGGCGACATATCCCGGTCTTTCGCCGATTGCACAGTTCCTTGCAGCTGTGTTGCTCCGCATCCTCCGGTCGGGCATCGGGACCAACCCTGGGCCAAAAACCTATTTCTGCTGAGTTTGCCAGAGACGATTTCATTCGAACCCCACTTTGGTTAGGTGCAATACCTGTAAAGGGTGAAGTTATCTAAGAAACTGCTCAGGCCTTAGGCCACACAGGGAGTGGGCCACAATACCTGTGCGAGGGTTATCAGCAGCTCTTCGTTAATCACACAATCACACCTGTGTCAGAACAAGATATACCGGAACGTGGCTGCAGTCTAAAACGGACTCCAGAGAAACATCGAAGAGGTGACCGTCTTTATGAGTCGGCATGGCATACTGAAAGATGCGGTTCAAGAAACGAAATCATTTCATGCGTTTGAGTAGAAACTGAATGAATGAACACCATTTCATGATTTCAATTAACGCGAAATAGAGTTTGTGCACTTAGTTTTTACTCAGATCGATGAAATTATTTCGTGAATTGGACTACGCATACATGTGATACTTATGCTTTTAATTTATAAGGTAATTTTATGTTTTTATACTCTTGGAATTTGTCTTCTTTCAACTTAAATAAATGCATTTTGCAAACAAAAGTGCGTACGTTACTTACTGCCTTGGTAATGGCGAATTCGTAAGGATCTATTGATTGCATTATAAACATTTTCATTTATTTGTTAAACATACAATTACTTCCATTACAACCCGGTCCTATGGAGGCTAGAAGCGCGAATTCATATAAGGTGGTGTTACCGGAAAATGAATAAATAAATTATATGTATATCAGAAAATTAATAAGATGAAATGAAATTATTGTTTGATTTCTAACCAAACCTATGTATGTAACTCAATCGCCTAATGGTT